GCAAATGGTGCTGGCAAAAGTGGATCTCCACCTGTAGAACAATGAAACTAAACCCCTACCTTTCACCCTACACAAAAGTCAATTCCAAATGGATCAAAGACCTCAATGTAAAGCCTGAAAATCTGAAACTGCTAGAAGAAAACATTGGGAAAAACCTACAAATATAGGTGTAGGAAAGGATCTTCTAAACCGGAAATCAATTGTTCAGGAAACAAGGTCAAGAGTTACCAAATGGGACCTCATTAAACTAAAAAGGTTCTATACATCAAAGGAGGCAACCAGGGAAGTGAAGAGAAAACCCAAAGAATGGGAGAAAATCTTCACCAGCAGCACATCTGACAGAGGTTTAATATCCAGAATATATAACGAACTCAGAAAACAGAGAATCAAGACAAGAAGTAACCCAATTAAAAGATGGGCTAAGGAGCTGAACAGAGAGTTCTCAAAAGAAGTAAAGATGTCTATGAAGCATCTTAAAAGATGTTCAACATCACTAATAATTAGGGAAATGCAAATTAAAACCACTTTAAGATTTCATCTTACCCCAGTCAGACTGGCTAAGATCAAGAGAACAAATGATACCAAATGTTGGAGAGGATGTGGGGAAAGGGGAACACTCATCCACTGCTGGTGGGGCTGCAAACTTGTTCAACCCCTATGGAAAGCAGTGTGGAGAACTCTTAAAAAAACTACAAATTGCTGGCCTTGGTGGCCCACGCCTTTACTCCCAGCACTCGGGAGGCAGAGATCAGCAGATCTCTGTGAGTTCAAGGCCAGCCTGGTCTACATAGTGAGTTCCAGGACAGCTGGGGCTACAGGCAGACCCTGTCTCAAAAAGACCAAAAAAAACTACAAATGAACCTACCATTTGACCAGTTATACCACTCCTTGGCATATACCCAAAGAATTCATCCTATTACAAAGACACTTATACATCCACATTTGTTGTTGCTCTTTTCACAATAGCTAAGAGATGGAAGCAACCTAAGTGTCCCTCAGTTGACCAGTGGATAATGAAAATGTGGTTCATTTATACGATGGAGTTTTACTCAGCAGTAAAAAAAAAGATGAAATCATGAAATTTTCAGGTAAATGGATGAAACAAGAAAATGTTATACTAAGTGAAGTAACAGACTCAGAAAAAAAAAATCAATGTATGTTCTCCCTCATATGTGGAGCCTAGAACCAAACCCCGATAAGTGAATATGTATCCAGACATAACTACAGAAACCAGGATAAAGGAAAGGAAACAGGGAGGTAAAGGAAAAGAAAGAACCTGAAAGAGAAGAACAGTAGGAAACAGGCCTTAATAAGGGAGATATGGATAAAAATTGGGTTAGTTTAAGGGAGGAGGGAGGGAAGGGTATACAAGGAACCTAGGGGATAAAGGGAAAGAAGGAGCTCAAGAGAGAAAAGGGGGGAAACGGGGGCACCTTAATTGGGAAAACCATGATGGAAGGGTGAGACAATGTGAGAGATAAATAATGCCTAGCTAGTTTTAAAAACCAGAGGGACCCATATTACTCCAACAACCTACCGACACATTATACACAGCAGATCAAGAAATATATGTCTAGGTAAGGTTTATCTGA